ATATTATCCGGGACCAAAAGATAAAAATTAAACCGGCCGGTTAAGTTTGGTTGGTTGTGTTTTTTTTTTCTTTGCTTCACATCAGTTGGTTAGTTATGTGTCTTTTTGGTCGTCGGTTCTTACAACTTATGACACCACAGGTTCTCAACTTGACTATGTATCTACATAACATGAAAGAAAAAAACAAACAGACAAAAATTGGGGACCAACAAGACAATACACTTGTGTATGTATACATGAATGCATAAACATTAAATATTATTATAAGGATTAACAATCAGTGACTAATGCCTAAGCGGTTTTGTTTGGTCCTGTCACGAGTTGTGTCATAGAGCTTCGATCGATAGAAATGACAAAGTATAATTAATATTTTGGTTGAAGATTGATTTAACCTTAAAAAGATTGACGCCAGATAAATGAAAATTGCTTTAATTAGATAAATGTATTGAAAAAAAAAATGAGGACAAAAAGAGATATCCAAAAGCTTTAGCCATGCATAGATTGCGCTTGCTTTTCGAATGTGGCATTTTAATATATTTATTAATGCATGCATTAAGGACAGTTATAAGGCATACGCACTAACTAATATATAGCCTTTTTAAGCATACGCACTAATGTATAGCCTTTCTAAGGGTAGTTATAATAGGTTGGACCTGTTGGTCGTTGGATAAATATCCAACTATAACTCTTTTTGAATGTGACTAAAAATCATGTTTAATTGTGTAATCTATACAATCTGGTGAAACTGAAATTTGGAGAGAAAAAAAACAAAATAGTGATAAGAAACACATTTAATGAGTATTAGTTTTTGGCCCTCATGCCAAAATTAAGATAATGCCTTTTTAATTATACACTAGTTAAGTTAAACAAGTTAGCTTTTCTTTATATATAACTAGAGTTGGTTTTCATCCAACATACACTGTAGTCATGTACATAGAAATAGAATTAGCGACATATGCTTGTTACTTGTTTGTATTTTAAAACGTTTTAGGTCTTTGTCTAAGAATCAAAATTTTTAAAAATAAACCAAAATCAATCAGATAGGAGGATCAAATATGTATATTACAATATACTCTCTCTGTTTTAAAATATAAGTTGTTTTAGAGGTTTTTTGGTTTCAAAGTATAAGTTGTTTTGTTAATCCTAGGTACTTTTTAATTTTATTGACTATTGTGTGATAAATAGTATTTTGCTGTCAATTTTTTCATTGGTTAAATTATTTTTATTATATATATAAGATGATACTTTTTAGAAAGAAAAGTAATTTCTTAATATTCGCACTTTTAGCCAAAACAACTTATATTTTGAAACGGAAAGAGTATAATTAAACTCATGCCGATTGG